GCTTTGAACTCCATATTAAGAGAACTCACTTGAAGTTCACTTAAACTGTAGCTGACCCCTACTTTTCACCCCAGTCCCCTTTGTTAGTTATCAACTCACTTAAAGCAGAGCAGTCGTAAAATGGAAACAGAACAAACAGGACAGATTGGAAAGTAGGCTAAAAGTTAAACTATAATGGTCATTTAAAATTCGGCTGTCTGATCTGCTAAAAAAATAAACTCTGTGATAAACTTTGTGCATTCTTGTAAGATTCCCAAAAATGAAGTAATGGTTACTATAAACGTCTAAAATGTACTTAAACTAAAGGTGAAAGACCCGGATCAACACAGACATCTTCTCTGGCTCCTGGTTAGAGACTGTCCATCAGCCGGCTCAATAAAGTTTTGTTCATTCCTGCTCTTTTGGTGTCTTGTAAGTGCCATTCTCAATGAACTTGCTTGCCGTATCAACATAACGTAACCAGCATGTTGTGTAAAAGAGGGTTAGCTTCTCAGAAACACATTTCTGAACCTCTGACTCATGTGACCCAAACCAAATCCTTTCAGACTTAATTAAGCCTTGATTCTTTCTGGAAAAGAAAACTGTTTTTGACATCTCATCTTCCATCCTAATATCCATGCTTTGAATAGTATTTTGAGTATGCAGTTGTTTGCAAATCTTTATTGAATTCTTATTTGTTATACTGTAAGGAAAGGATTTAATTTTGGGGAGGGTAGAATTCTTTAATTTTACAGAGAACATTGGAAAATTGTTTTGTATTTTGTTTAAATGTTCTTTGAATCAAAATATTTACGGAACAAGAAGTTCTTCTAGCCAGCAGCTTGTTCCATTTGTTGTGTTTAAGTGTGGAACCATAAGGAATGACAGCATAAGATGCCGTAAGCTTTTCTATAAACAACCTAATAACATTGTCTAATGTGTTTGTTTATTAAAGGTGTCAAAGAATCCCTTGATATATTTAGGTAAAATTTAAGTTTCTCTACTCATGCATGGAGAATATTGATTGTTTTCTAGTTTGGAGGAAAGCAGTATGGATAAATAAAATAATGACACTTAATTGTAAATCAGTATTAGAAGATTCAGTTACAAGAAGATTATAGTTTGGTTTGTGTTTTTCTTTTTAAGAAGTATAAAAGCACTAATATTTAATGCCTTTTATAAAAATACTGTGTGTACATCTCTATCTTAGTCTCTAAACATTAACTGATGAATGATGTTATCTTTTAATTGGATTTTAAATTTATCAAATAGCTAAGCAAATACATTTTTATTGTGAAATGCTAATGTCTAGTACTATCTCAGTGGTGTGCTATATACCTGTGCCCTATATTCTGAGAGTTTAATTTTTATTAACTGTTAATAATTAAGTTTAAGAAATATATGCACATATATAACACACACGTATATGCTTTAGTAAAGACACAAGTATATATTCAAGTCAATGTGGATTAAAATTTCCAAAGGGAAGAATGAGCCCAGTGGCTGTGACAGTATAAGGACATGGTCTTAGTGTTTAGATATTTGTGAGGAACAGAGGTGAATGTTTAGGATTTGAATTGGTAGATTTTATATAAAGAGATTACGGAGGACTTTAATGAACAATTAATGATTTTTTATTTAGTGTAATAGAAATTACACACAAACATATAGATAAGATTGCATGTTCTTATTTAGAAAAAATAAAATCAAGCTCTGTTTTAGAAGTACTGATATTAAAATACTTTTACTATTTACTGAGCACTTTCTGTTTTTAGAATGAACAACATAAAAGTAAAATAATTTCTTGGAATATTTAAGAATAATACTAGTAACCAGGTAAGTATGGTAGAGTAAAGACCATTTACAAAATCTTCAAATGAAAATGAAAGCAGAGTTGAAGAATATTTCCACTAGCCAAATTGTCTTCCAGTTATAAAGAAAAAAGCAAACTATTTCAAATGTAACATCTAGGAAGATATTTTTTTGAAAAACTGAAATATATTCAAGAAAATGAAGATGGAGTGTGGATGAATAGCAAACAGAATGAGAGGTACCAGGGAAACACCCAGTGTTTAAGGCACAATGGGAAATGTTTAAGTGTTGTTAATTTCTTACGATATGGTCTTTAGCACTTTTTACATTGAATTCAGATTTGGGGTTCTACAGAATAAACAGATGTGATATTTGGGGGACAAAAAGAGTCTGAGGTTTGTTCCAGATTTATTTCGCTAGATTTGTGTGTTCACAATTCACTACAAATCTATAAGGAAACACAGTGTGAAGCAAATTTTCATTCATAGATACGCTGTTTTCACAGTATGAAAGCAAAAGCTCGAGGGATGAAAATATGGTAAAAACTTTGTATAAAGAAACAAAGCAAACATACCTACAGAAACTTACAGGTGATATTTACCCAATAAAGAAATGAATGAAACTAAATAATTTAGAAATAGAGAATGTTGTTTATATGTTAGTGTTTTTGAATTATAATGTCTTACAGCTACAATAGAGAACATGAGTCTAGTAAACCTTATGAAGATACAGATACGAGGAGAACTAGGCTGTTGGTGAAAATTAAGATGTGTTACTTCTTCCTCTCTCAGATAAGTCAGTACTGACTTACAAATGAATTAGGGAGTCACTGAAAATCTTTATCATATCTTCGTTCTGTGTCTGTTACATCGTTTTAGCTTTTAGAAACTAGCCTCCCTGGATGTGGAGAGATATCTGAAGTTTAGCAGTATCTTCACTTTTACTATGTTTGCTTATCTGTCACTAAAATTAAGTAATTAAAAATGGCATGAGTAGTACAATCTCATTTTAATAAAATCTGTCATTTTGTCCTTCAAGTTACTGCATAGATTATTGATAGATGATTGTTCAATGCGACTTCCTTTGGAGTAGCATTTTTCAATGATTTAGTTTTTGACCATTTAAACTTTTTTCCATGTTGCCAGTTTTGAGGACATACATACATTTTTTTTGATATAAGGCCTTTTTCCTTTAAAAAAGTGTGACAAGATTTTAAGCTATTTGTTAAGTCTTTGATGGTGGTTAAAGACGTGAGTGTTTCTGTCCTTAGGAATTCCAAGGCCTGTTTTAAATGATTTTATCTATTTTTTGTTTTCTTGTTTGAAATGCTGAATATTAATGCTTTGCTTTCTCATGCTAGGCATCATTTGTTTATATATAAAAGGACTTTGTAGTGTAAGTTTTTTTTTAGGTGCAGAATTCAGTTATATATCTTTGTTGAAGTTAAGATCTGACAATGTCTTGTTTTGTATCTGTCAAGTCAGAAGCATGTCAGGGTCTGGATTATGCTCTACTTGCATACAAAAAAGTGAGTGTGACAGAGTGTCCTAGATAATTTGCAGAATGCCTGGAACTGTAGAAAAACAAAGTAGCATTAGTTTTCTAAATTTCCTTTTGTTTTCTGGAAAATTAGTAAATCTGCTCTAGGAAAAGACATATCTATTTTTGCAAGCCTACCCACTATGTATGCAAACATTCTTGAAGACAGTCTGGAGCAAATTAGCTGTTAATGCTTTTGAAAATATTTGAGAACATGAAAGACCTAAGGAAAAAATGTCTCCCTGTAAAACTTAGACGCTTAGAAGATGTAACTCCCTGATCAAAGTTAACACCTCACAGTGGAAGCTGATGTCTTTTATGTTGTCTTAACATATAACCCGTGGCATGGAAGGTTGTTTTTCAAGTGTTCTTTTTGAACTTTGTGTCCAATACAAATGTTAAGTTTAAATAAATTTCTTAAAATTCATAAGCCAACTAATTTCTACAGCAAAGTTCAGAACTTGAAATCTTTTCTTTCTCATTTCCCAATATTTTGTCAAAGTTATGTAAAATTAAGCTGTTTGACAGATACTGGTCTTACAGGCTCAGTTTGATGTTTTAGTTAAGAATAGCATTGTATTTTTTTTTTTTTTTTTACTACCTGGAATCAAACTCACAACCTTGTGCTTGCCAGGCAGGCATTGTGCCACTGATCTATATCCCTAGCCCTTTTTATGGTATTTTGGAATCATAACTGTAGAGTATTCTAAATGGAATGCCAATATGAACCCCTGAAATTTAGTTCCTATGGAATTAGTGGAGCAAAGATACCATTATAAAGGATCTCTTGCATATTAATTTTTAAGTTTTTATTTGTTCTGTTGTAATAGGAAGAACTTGAAGTAGAGTATTAAATTATAAGAAATAAAAATCTTATTCAGAAAGGTTATATAATATATGTGCCATTTCTTCTAAGTTTAAGACTACCTCTTATATTTAGCTCTTCAGCAGTCTGTGTTTGTCTATTATTGTTGTCCAAGTTCAGCTTTTTTTCTCTTTCTGATGGACACTGCTATGATTTCTTTCAGTATTTGCTGTTTTAAGTCATTATAGGTATAGTGATCTCTATTCTTTGTAATTATGATATTTAACTTCCTTCCAGAACCCTCCAGCCATCCCTGTCTAGCCAGTCTTTCTGTTGTAGTTTTTCATCATTCCATGCAATAAATTTATTGTGTAAGTTAAACAAGAGTGGTGCTTGGTGAGCCATCCCTATAATCCCAGCAGTCGGAGACTGAGGCAGGAGGACTGAAGCCTGGGCAATTTACCACATTACCAAGGTCCTGTTTCCAAAAAGGGGAAGCCTGGAGAACTTCTCTTAGTACAAAGGCTTTGGATTCAATCCTATTCTGCAAAACTAAAGTGAAGTGTAAAAGACTGAAACAGACTGTTGTCTGTTTCTGAGTATATCTTTCCTACATTTTTCTTATCTAAAGCAATTTATTCTTCTTTGCTAAGTATTTAGCAAATATTAGTAAATAAGTATGTATTCACGGCCTAGTTGAACTGTCTTTGTCTTGATAACCTGATACAATTCAGCCTGGATTTATTTTGCATATTTTACAAGGCTCTCTGCATTGCACGTATAGCAATTGTATGCAGTTCTTTGTGTTCATGTTTTGTATTTTTACCCAGTTTGTGGACTATTTTCTATGTGCATTTTTTCCTAGCATGTAAAGGTCACATCTGGGGTTCCATGTCATGCTGGCGGCAGTATTCAGCACATCATCGAACAGTGCTACAGTTTTGTTTGTGTGAATGTAAGTAGCAAATGCAAATGACTGAAAGAAGTTGAAGATCTGAACAAATGCAGTTATCAAAGAGAAGTGCTAATTTTTCTGGATCTTTAACTATTTGAATGTAAAATGTGGATAGATGAGTTGTCTTATTTAGTATGCCTTTGGCAATTTTATTTCTTTCATTTAAAATAGGGAGATAACATTTTCTAAGAAGCTGATGCCCATAATGAAGACAGTAATGTTTCTTTAGACAGTATTTTTAATTTTCTGTTTTATATTTAGTTTTGAGTAGACTATAAGATAATAATGTTCAAATTAATAAGTAACTCCAATTTAATCCATATATATACCTTATGGGTATTCTTTTAATTCTTTGAAAAATACACTTGATGAATATTTTGAATGTACTCTTAGATCTCTCTATTTTCTCTTAACTTTTAAATCATGTAAAGCTTCTTTTCACTTTTTTGGTCTTCTAGGTTATGACAGCTGATTTTCAGAACACCCAGAAGTTACTGGACATGCTTGAGGAATGCAACCTTTCCATTTTATATCCTGTAGTTGTGTTTTCGGTAAGTGAAGAAATGCAGACTTTGCTAAGCAGGAATGCTATGCCCAATAGAGAGTATGGACCAATGCTCAGAGGAAGAAGCTTTTTCATGTGTATTTGTAAAGTGATTTTTTGCTATGACTTCTTTGAATACTTGCCTTTATTATAGCAATTGTTCAGTTGGACAGACGGATTTTAAAAACTAATTCCTTCTAATAATTAATTTCATTCCTTTTTCTTCATTAAAATCCCAAAGTATGTGGTTAGGTTCACCAATTGTTTAGAGAAAGTGAAAAAGCTTTATTTCACATATGACTACAGTGACACTAGATAAGGAATTCAGAAGTTGAGAAACAATGCAAAAGAGATCTAAACGAAGAAAATTTATTCTTCCATGCTCCCTCTTTATTCCATGAAAAGCATAAATAGAATGAATAATGTATAAAAGAGAATACTGAGAAGTATAGCCCATGAAAATTTTGGAAACTGCTTTCTGGAAAAGTAAATGAATACATTTAGTGCAGAATTCACATGAATAGACAATTAGACTGTTTTTGAGGGAATATCACCATGGAAAACCAGTCAAGTACAAGATTACAAGCCAAGTTACCCAAATTGGCTACAGAGCAGGATCTGTAATGTATAGTATCTTGGTGTGGGAAGGGGTTCCAAAGATGCAGTTCTCAGAACTGCTTACAAGTTGCCAGTAGGGGAAAGCTCAGGCCCATCCCACTGCATGAGAACTTAGTTGTTTTGTAAAATAATTAATGCTGAATGAAAATAGTACTGTGTAGTAAAAATAAATACGTCTAATATAAGCAAAGCAACTAGGAACTAATTAGCAACAGAGGAGATTCAGTCAATACATTGGCATCTTGTGTTTGGTTCTGTGTCATAAAGAGGGGCTCCTGCGGAACCCAAGTACTCCTATGGAACCCAACTCCTCCTATGACTGATACAAATATGGAGTCACTGAGCCCTTTGGGAGGTACAGAAAGAACCCAACACTGGAAGACTCTATGCTCTTTAGGGTAGAGGCCAGTTCTAAGTCTGTGTTTGCCTCTCAATTCTCCACATTTACTCACTTAGAAATCTCATTCACTCCATATTCTTAAGTATGATGCCTAAGAGGCCATCCAGTACATTTTGCAAAAAAAAAAAGTGATTTTGAACTCAGAATACTTTGATTCCTTCATTGAACTACTTAAATGTTTTCGAGGTTCAGTTCCCACTCTGTACAGATGAGGCAAATATCCCCATTTCTTAGGTAGTAAGCACAGAAATGAATGAATGAAAAAATCTAGTTGATAGCACAGTGCTGCATCTTGGACAGGCAGGCATTATTACTTTCAGTTCTAGACGAGAGCCTTTCCTTCGCACTTCCGATAACTCAAAGTTTTCTTTTACTATTCTAGTATGATTTCCTGGGATTCAGGGGTACTTTTTCCCTTTTTTCTCTTGGTTACTTCACTTCTCAAGTTTATGTCTGAACAATCACAACAGCACAATGTTCCTAAGTGGATGTCTGTTAATGGCAATGCAGTTGTGACAACACAGGGTCCCAAGCTGGAGTCTGTCATCTTTGAGACTTCTTTCTACCTTTCTTCCTCTTTTGTCCACATCCATACATACACATACTGGCTTACCTTTTAAACTGTTCTTTCCTATTTTCTACTATTATACCTCAACCCCAGGCCTTTGCATTGCTTATATAAGTATACAAATTAAGTTTTACGGTGACTTTGCTTGAGTTGAATTTCATGGGTCCTAGAAAATGCCAAAATTATTTGGCTACCTAGTGTTCTGTATCAAACTAGAAAAAAGATGGGCAGTTTTCCAGCTATAAGTCAAATGTCTCTTAGAATTAGCTTAAAAAGTAGTATAGGCCTATATATTACAAACACTTTAAAATTGGAAGATTTTCACTCCCTGATTAATACTCATTTTTCCATTGCATCAGACCACTCAGTATGGTGAAATATTGTTATTATTAAAATTAATAGGAAAAAGTTATTTAATTTTGTGTATATTTATAGTTTATAGCCTTAGGATGGTGCATGTCACCAGAAAGGGTGGAGTTAAAAATGCTGGTTTCTTAGATGGGTGGTGATTACATCACCTCTGGATGTTTGAATCGTTCTGTAAGTGATTGTGATGATAGCTTACCAGGCTTCATCCTTTTCTTTTATGATGAGTGTGGCAGAAAGTAAAAACACTTAGAGTCTGAGTATCCTACTTCATACATTAGTAAGATTTAAAAAAAATATAGTACATAAATACATATAGTGTTTGGGTATGTAAGTGTGAACACGTGTGTAAGAAATATTGACAGGTTATGTAATTGAAAGGATGTTATGTGTATCAGGCAACTCAGAGACTATACTGTCCATTTTGGATCTATCTGCACTAACTTTGTTGGAAGGTTGAAAAAAGATGAAAGGCCTCTGCCATGGTTTTTATTGCTGGCTATTTTTCCGTAAGATTTTTACTAAACAAGTCTTAAGTTCTGAGAATGGTCCAGAGAGAGTCTGATTATTTGCTTCTCCAAACTGGTAACCTTTTTCATTGGAAACATATTAGAAATGCCATCAAAATCACAGATAGATGTTTACTTTTATTTTGGAGTTGGGTAATTCATAGATTTTAAATGGATGTATTACAGATGTTTAAAGGTTTGTTTTATCGTAACTGAGATGTAATATAATGGTCCTTTTTTTCCTGTGCAAGGGTTATCCACTTTTATTTGTATCCCCTCTAAAGAGAGGAAGACTTAGTAGGAATTAAGCAGAAGCAGTGATATTGTGTTAACTAGATATTTGTTAAGTTTTTCAAGATAGTAAAGCAAAAATTGATGGCTGTGATTCTTGGTTGTAAGGCTATTTTTCACAATTAGTTTCAGATTAGGTTCTACAGAGGTCTCAATTATATAATCAGTTCTCCTGAAAAGTGAAATGGGTTAAAATCTATTTGATCATCATTCTTGCTTCTTTTCTTTTGCTTTTTCATTTGATTTGATTTGTTTGTCGTCTAATTTTGCCACCTTTGAGACTTGATGTCAGTAGTGTTTAATATGATTTATGAAATTAAATGACATTATTCGGTTCAACCTAAAGTCTTTATACTTTGGTAGATATAATGTAATATAATGAAATAATCTGAAATTTACAAATTTCTACTATCATGGCTGGTGGTATGGATTCTGTGGTCTAAAATCGACCATAGTCAGGTGGATCATTTTGTAATGGTTGTTTCTTAATGAATTTGTATGTGTTTATGATTGACATTTGTTTTGTGCACCTTTTATCTATGAGCTTTTAGATATACATACTAAGATCATGAGCACACCATACACTAGGAGAGTTCTCCCGTTTGAAAGAAAATATTCTTTTTCACTCGAGGTTGATAAGCTCAACAGAATTTGAAATTTTAGATTGCTTCATCAAAACGAATCTCATTAAGTACATGTTAAACACCAGTACTATCTGTGTAAAAATAAAATCATGCAGTCCTCCCAGCACACAAACTGTACACTGGTAGTTGTGCATTGTAAAGTATCTATTGTTTTTCCTTATGGTCTCATGGTGATGGGGAGCTGGGACCTATGGCCTCTGCCCAGAATCACTGGAGGGTATCATGGGGCTACTCTAAGAGAATATCAAAACTCAAACTTCAAGGTTTGATTTCTGTTGAATGCAAATTGCTTTTATACCATAATAAAGTCATAACATTGTTATTGGTCCTGTCTCATTTGGGGCCTGTCTATGTTGCTACCCTCCCTGTCAGATTATGTCTTTCAAGAGGATGGTCTGAACTTGCTTTTCAGACTGGCCTGACCTAAAAGCCATGAACACAGATGTTGCTAGTTCTCTACTTTCTATTCTTATGTGTTTATGGTCACTACTGGAATAATGATAACAGATAGAAAAATAAAGTAATGTGTGTCTTAAAATACTAAAAGACAAATTCATAAAAAGTCAGTCAGTGAAAACAGTTCACAAAAACTAAGAGTATGCATTTTGACTGAGTTCATTGCTTACAAATTCATGTAAAGAGCTGTGTTTTTCTCCTGATTAACTGTGAAAAGAGATTTTAGAAGGTAAAACTACCTATAGATATTTTGCAGACAAAGTTATATAAAACCAATTATAAATCCCTCAAAAATGTCTTTCCATGTACAAAGAATATAATAGGGGTTCTAATTTATTTGTTTCTGGCAAGAGTTCCACAAAACATTCTTTGATACTATCAGATAAAATAGTAGATAATACATTTATATTATCTTCAATTAATCAACATCACATGAATGTTTAGTTATTAAACTTGGGAAGAAGTGGGTAACAAACAAGCGCAAGTTAAAAACTGAAACATGAAGCAAATTCTTTAATTTTGATTGGTAAAATCGTTTGTCACTTTTCCAAAAACAAAATAATTTTACTGTAATTATCTAGATACTTATCTGAGAGCTTTACTTTGCTCTGCCTATGCCCAAAATTTTATTAATGCATCATGAGGAAGGAATCATTTTATGAATTTACTTTAGCAAAGGCATAAATTACCAAATGGAATTCTAATGCTTTGAAAAGCATAAATAAACCTTGAAAAGTATCTGATTTTTTTCTACTTTGTAGGAAGTAGTTTATTAACAGATCAAAATAGATGATGTTTAAAGCACTTCAAAATGTTTAATATTTGAACATGTCAGCAATTTATAAAAAAATAAAACTCAGAAAATCACCATCCATTGACACTTGATACTTTCACATATGGGGAAACTGTCAAAGAGATGTAAATTGTTTCCAGAAGGTTCCACAGCTCACAAGGATAGCACCAGGAAGAGAATCAATCCAATGTGTACTATATCATATAGTTTTGTTACTTTCATGCTCTTATATTAATGGAAAACATTAAAAATATGCATAAACACATATATGCATTTAATATTCCTTGCTAATGAGGAACAAATGACAACTGGGAAAATAGAGTGATTTTTTCTTTCATGTGCTAATAGCTCCTTATATTAGT